TGCACTCTGCTACCTGCTGCATCAGAATTGTACTTCATTTGAAGACTGTCATTTCTGTTCCAGACTAACAAGCCATTTTTCTTTTTTTTTCTTTTTTTTTACAGTAGGGACAAAAACAAATGCAAACAAATCTTTAAAACTGATTTCATCCATTCTTTCTCAGCTTACATACAATGCCTTATCATAATAGTCACAATCTTTAACAAATTACATTTTACTAGAGTAAAAGAGCAACATTTTGCATATTGTATTGTTTTGCGTGATGGACCAAAACAAAGGGATGCACTGACGTTGAATGAATAGGAAAAAAAAAACATATATATAAAAATCCATGCAGGGTGACTTTGTAGGTAGCCCACTGCAGTACTATACAGACTCATCTTATGCTACAGTTATAAACGTTTAGTCTTTTTGGGCTTCTTTCAATTTTAAAGAGACTTTTTTATACCTTCTTTTCAAGGATTTTCAGTTGGATTCAAAACTATTTTTTGGCCCTTTCCAACCCTTAGCTTCATCTGCTCAGCCTAAAATAAAGAAATGTGCTATTAAATAGTCAAACATACATTTCTTTTTAAAAAAATATATAATTAAAAACAATTTAATATACAATTAAATTATCAGATGTAGAATAAAACAAGGTAATGAGGCTTTAAATTGAATATATCGTTTTGAAATATGATGATAAATAATTGAATGTGAGCAGCACCAGCTTTCGTGGTATAGGATGGTGGGTGCTCACACAGAATTCAGCAAAATCAACGCTTGCTCCACTTAATGGCTAACACCTGCTTATGACCTGTCAAGAACTTTTCAGAGAGCAAAATAAGTATATGAAGCTGTCGTAGCTCACCCATTGTGCAAAACTATTGACTCTAGTTCTCTGTTTCAGAAAAAGGCAGCCAATCAGATGTTAAGGTTTCTATGAAAGTGATCATTGTCCTTTCCAATAAGTTTGACAGTTTAAATCATTTCATTAAGAGTCTGATGGGGAAAAATTATTAAATTAATAATTAAACAGATTTATAAAAAATTACTATTGTTATTATTAAATGTCATGATTTAAAATGTATACTTAATCATTTAAAGGTATATCAAATATTTAATTTTACATTTCATAATATATGGTCAGTGGTGTCAAAAGTACCCACATTTGTTACTTAGGTAGAAGTATAGATACTGCAGTTTAAAAAACACTCTGGTAAAAGTAAAAGTAAAAGTATCAACTTCACCTCTTTACTCAAGTAAAAGTGAAAAAGTATGTGCTCCAAAAACTACTTAAAGTATAAAAGTATAAAGTAACCTTACAAAAAACAGCCAGATGCCACTATATGAATTGAAAGTTACATTTTTCAACTATTTCGAAAAATTCTTTGAGATAGGGCCAAGGATGAGGGAGGTTTTTTTGGTCTCCATCTCACGATACGCTCTCGCCTGTGTCCGACCTTTCAGACATTTCATCATCTTTTTCTGAATCCGAAATTGTAGCATGGCATAGACAATTCACATTTGCAGTTTGAAGAACACCTGCTTGCTTTTGATAATTTCCTTTGGCGTCAGCACAAATTTGAGGAATAGCTAACCAATGAGTGTTTGTGTTATACAGTATGACTCATCCAATTACACTATTTTCCTCTAGATGTGGATGGCGCCAATGATCTGCATTGGATGGCGCACATGATGTGAAATAAAGATTTATAAACATTAAACCAGAGGTAACCAATTAAAAATCAGTGGGGTCAGAATAAAGAAAATCATCAACCAGTAAAGGTCAGGAGACATTTTGAATGATCTGTTACTTTAAACAGAATTTAACACTGAAATAAAATGAGGTATTTATGCATACATTTTATACACTGAATTTTTAAATAAAGAAAAAAATGAAATTGCCAAAAATGGCATCCTTTGCTATCTCAGAGGAGTTGACACTTGTATGACTGTATTCCTGTATATCTATCAAAAGTTAAATGACAAGGTTCAGCAAATGCAAATTCTGCCTGTAAAACAATGGCAGCGCAATTGTGGCTGTATGATCTGAAGCCTCATTTGAAGCTTTTAAACAGGCTTTTGAAAAACTTTGATAATTTGCTGCTGTAATATTATAGATTTTTTAGAAACAGAAGTACAATTATATAGCATTCAATATTGTAAGAAAGCCCACACTGTTTCTGAATAAATACAATATTGTATGAGTTGAGTTCTGTTCCGTTTATGTCTCTTTCCTTTTAAGTATGAAATGTCCCATGCTCCTGAATGCACCATAGCTATCTGACCTTTGTGAATGCATCACTGGTCTGTAAACGCTGTGCTGTGTAGATGCAAGTTTGATTTTCCGCTTAAAACAAACCTTTGCAGTTTCCAAACTCATCACTGTTTAATGTTGTTTGTGAATAACAAGAGACTATAACTAATAAATCAGCCGTACCTCGGACAAATACTTTGATTTAATGTTGTTCATTACACCCTTTACTTTTGTAAATGAATCTGCCAAATAACCACAATTTCTTTCCCCAATGAGAGGAATATTTAAACGTTTTTATCATTAATATAACAACAAGTAGTTCCATTGGTCATATTTTAATCCATTTTCCTCGTTGATATGCAGTTGTACAGAGCGAGGCGCGCTCCTGCGATTGGGGATGCATATCTCAGCAGGGATGCACTTTTCGGCATAACACTGGACCACGGTCCGCTAATCCGTGACCTCTGCATTAAACTGAAGCCAAGAGTAACGAGTAACGGTTGTTTTAAAAATGTAAGGAATAGAAAGTACAGATACTTGTGTGAAAATGTAATGAGTATAAGTCAGAAGTAGGAAGAAAAATAAGTAATGAAGTAAAGTATAGATACCTAAAAAGTAATTAAGTACAGTAACAAAGTTTTTGTACTTCGTCACTTGACACCTCTGTATATGGTACATATACACTTTTAATGATGTATTAAATAAATAATAGCACATTTAAATATTTAATTGTACATTTAATTTTATTTAATTTAATTTTGCATTTCATTTGTTCAAGGTACATTTATTGATTTTATAATACATTTGCATTAATTCATTTTATTTTGTCCTCTTTAAGCATATTGAAGATCAATTTGGTGGATACATAGAACGGAACCGAGAACCGAAACACGAGTTGTTGAGTATGAGCGCGAGCTACGAGAACGAGCAGAAGACTGCTGCAGTGTTTTGGTCACATGTGGCAGCAGCATTAGTAAACTGCATAATGCCTCTTTAAGACAGAAGAGTTGATTAGTAAACAAGAAGCAGGTGTTTTATTAGAACTTGGATGCTGCTTTAAGGAAGGAAAGGTACAGAATTTGAATTGAATGGAAGAACTGGCTGACACAGCGTAAAAGGAGGAAGACTATAGATGCCAAAATATAAAAAAATAAATTCGAAACACGTAACCTAAATCCAAAGTGTCTTTGCATTAGGAAGGTTATGTGTTTGCAAATCTGTTGAATTTTGTCTATGTTTAGATGATTGTCTAACCCTTCATTCACCCCCACATTCCAAAACACAAGTTAACCTGCATCTCCTTTTAGTTAAGCCATGAATATTCCAATCAGAAGCCAGCATGGTGCTGCAGGATTAGCTGGAGTGTGACAGCATACAGAATATAAATATATGTTTTACACAGGCTTTAACCATGTGTTGCCTGTCAGCACAATTATTTGAAATGTATGTGTCTTTGCATGACACACACTACTTTAGCTACTCAGAGCTCTTCCTCACAGTTCCCTTCCCCCTCAGCTAGGATGCATTTAAAGAGGACATAAGCGTGTGCACTTGCAGTGTTCATTCATGTTGACGACCTTGATAGCAGGTGGATGAACTCCCAGGTGTGTCCCAGTTTTAGAGAGAGGATCATAGGCAGGTGGGACCTGGACTGGGCTTGATGTTTCCAGATTAATGAGCTTTTCCTTGCTCACATCAGCTGCTAGGGCTGCTGGCCGAGCCAGGCTGGAAACAGCGACAAAGCCCTGGCACACACTCGCTAGATTCATTTATATTGTAGCAAAAATGTGCCACACTGTTAAGCCATGCCAGCCCCATAGAAAATCTGGATAAGGAAGAAGGACTGATGTATTGTTTATCCTGTTATAAAAAAAAGTCTTAGGTTATTAACAGTAATTATTCCCAAACAACAGGCACAAAAAACCTGTGGTCTTCTGCTGGTAAATCTCCAAAGACTTGCCTGGCTAGGTTTAACGTGAAGGGAGACCACTGGGACTTCTTAGCCTATAAACATTATGAGACACTCAGCACTGGATTTATGTGTGCAATAAAATCATCCAAATAAGATATGGGAATGGGAATATCCTAATAATGGATAGAACATGAGTTTAAACCCCTCCTGATTTCATAATTTTGAATACCAGGACCTTATACCACAGAGACAAAAATAACACACACTTCTGTGGATATAAGTATGTGAGAAAGAGAGATGCGGTGTAGATGAGCAGCAATCGGACCCAGCTTTGGGATAAACAAAAGTTGACCTAAGTGACCTCCCTCATTAGCAGCCCACGGTGGAAGATGGAGCGGGGACGACGTGTGCCGTGGAGTTGGTGGTGTGTGGGTTGGTGAGCGACTACAGAAAGCAGCACATAAGTCGAGAATGAGACAAAAGAAAATGATAAAATGAACCCTCTCGCGACCCCACAAGCAGAGAGGTACTGGATTTACGTGGCCATTATCTCGGCTCCTCGCTCCACTCTGAGACCAACATTAAATATTCCTCAACTCATTTTTGTTTGCAGATAAGAAGTCAATAAAACATTTGCTATTAATGGGAGATGCTGTTAATGGCTTTATCTGTTTTCTTTATCAATATATTTAGTTAAACGTATACATAGAAAAAAAAAACTCTTAAAAAAAAGACTTACAGTATAGATATGATAGAGGCACAAATTATTAGTAAAAGCTGGACAATATTGTTATCCCTATAATCTATGAAAGTTTGCAAACATCAGAAAATCAGAGAAAATTTACTGACCTCCCTGTCCAGGCCGGCTGCCACAGTAACAATGTCTCCCGTCTCGCTGTTGATGGTGAACATATTGGGAATTGGACTTTGAGGAGTCTGTGAAAGGATCCGATACCGCACCATGCCGTTAGCTGTGGTGGAGTCATCCGAGTCCCTGGCTGTGACTTGCATCACAGAGGAGCCTATGTGAAGAAAGATAACAGGCAATGCAAGATGGTTTTGAGTCTTGGTAAAAAGCATTTAACCCGCTAAGAATTTCAGTTTCTATACAAGCTTTAATTTCATTACTGACTTTTTGTGATAGACCAACACTAAGTACCAAAAAATTGCTGAATCAAACTAAAAAATGACATGATTCTACAATAATTGGCACAACCTTTAATATAACCCCCGAGAGTGTTTGTTTTCAGCCCCCTCACTTGTTTGTAGATTCAACATTTGGGCTATGCCTCCACCACCCTCTCACATTTAAAATTTCATTTTTTTGCCCTTTCTTCAAAAGAGTTTAAGCTAGTGAGATCATGCCATGAAAAGGGAAAGCAGCTGGTTTTCTTTAGAAACTACTTGTTTGAATAGATGTCTCATTCTGTTTGTGTATAACACACATGCTTTATAGTTTTGAGCTTTTGCCAACACAGCAAGGCTTCGGTTGTCAAAGAGATTTCAGATTTCACATGGACTTCCTGATTAAATAAAGGTACAAACAAATGAGGATTGTTGTCAAGCTTGAGGATGACAATCTGTCCGTCTGTTTTGAGGTAACTTACTTTCTTTTAGGATGGTCCTGTGGCATCAGCTACAACCAGTCTTTATCCCTCCTTAAGACCACATTGCAACACAACGGCTGCATTGATAGAAGTTTTAAATGTCACTTAAAGGCATTGGGTCTTAAACTCCTGTATTGCCATAAATTAATGTTAATGCTGCGTTTCACACAATTTATCACTCCATATATTGGAAAAAGGTGTGGTATTACCTCCTTGGTTACTCTGTGTCATTTGGCAGTCATAAATCTTGGTGCAAAAAAATAATAGTGGGGGTCCTTAGGGGTCCACTCTTGAGCCACTTTTGTTTAAAGTCTATATCACCACAGTACACATTTTTCAGTTTGTCCATAATATTAATGAGTGGATTGTCCATAAATGTCTCCATCTTAATTAAGATTTAAAATCAATTCTGAGCTAGGAACCTGGGTTTGGTCTTAAGCTTGAATCAAAATTGTGGCGGCAAAACAGTCCATAATCCAAAGTCATTATAAAAAAAAATAAATAAAAAAAATAAATAAATAAAAAAAAAATATAGTAATATAAAGCATTATAAAAGAAGAAAAAAAAGACATTGCCAGAAAAAAAGGTCTAATGTCACACAGGACACAGCAATACTGGTGCATGTCTTTATTTCTAGTATGATGGATTATTGCAATAGTGTCCTTAGTGGTCTCCATTGATAAATCAGTCAGTTTTTCTTTTCTTTTTTTTTTCTTTTTTACACCACAACACATTTAGGATTTAGATCAATATCTAAGATCAAGGTTTAGTTATCTAACCTAAGTACCAGCTTTTATGCCATATCTACTATATGGCTTGCAGCAAGGTGTAAACAATATTTCGTATGATTTACTTCTAACATCGTTCTGTCACTCTTCCATAGAGGTTGAATTTGTGGACTACAATAGTTGCCCTGTCCATATATTTTCTCCCATCACAGCCATGAGTCTCTGCTCCTCTTCCAGGGTTAAATTGACCTTTTGGCTACTTTTCTGATTTATGCTCTTCAGAGTTTAGGTGGACAGCCATGTCTTGGTATGTTTAACGTTTTGCAACACTCGCTCTATTCCCATGTGCTATATTAAACATCTCTCCATTGTCTGTACCCTCTCATCCTTGGAGGGTCAGAGGTGCTTATCCTCAGCAGTCAGTTGGGGAGAGGTGGGATAAAGGTTGCCACTTCAGCAAAAGTTAACACAGAGACATGCTGCAAATGTGCACATATTAATTCCTAGGGGCAATTTAAAGTAACCATTTCAAGTTGTAGTAAAGTTTTTGTAAAAGAGAGGAAAGCATAGTAGGCGGATAGCCTACAAGTAGACTGAACAGCTTGGGATAGTGTTTCAACACCAAACTCAGCTTTAACCATCTCCACGACTTTCTCCCTCATCCCCATGCTTTGTCTTAGTCTGTTCAATGCCGTTTGTTTACTAATATTATTTAATAAATGTTTGAGCCCTTCGTCGAACAGCTGGGTTTATAGAGATTAAATCACACAAAGGGGAGCTCAATTTACTAATTAGATTACTCTTTAAGGAAGCTCCTGCACTGGATTTAATGAATACAAATGCAAAAACCAGTTGTAAGCTATTTTGAAATGCATTTCTCATTTTCCTTCATTTTAATCATAATGTACAACCTTATGTTGCTCACACACATTCCAAATAAACATATTGAATGCTTATATTTTAAATAAAACCTTATGAGGGCTTCAGAACCTCATTATTATTAGTGAACTTAGAGAAAATTTCAAAGGGAATGACTCATAAATAAACTTCAAACAAGTCCAACAGACCCTTCAAATAGCTCTGACATTTTCTGTTCTGGAAAGCAAACCTTTACAGACATAGCAGATACAGAAAAAAGTGTGAGAACACAAACACCAAGCCTATTAAATAAGCTCCTATTTTAAGTTACACTTATTTGTTCTCTATATGTTTCAAGCAGAGCGAAGTAAAGTTTCCACCTCTGCAAAGGCCATTTAGAAATGAGCAGCACAGAGTCTTCCAGCATTTCAACCTTCCATTATTTCAGCCTTCCATGGCATTCGGGCTGCTGTTAATGCTTTGATACTCTCTCCCCATTTGTCTTGGAATCACAGATAAACACTGTCATTTAAGGCACACAGCACAGGGGCAGCAAGATGGAGGAAGCGTTTGCTGACAGTTCTGTGTATATGTGGTGACAGAATCTATGTACATCTTCAATTATTTCCCAGCACATTTATGCATTTGTATGCATGTGCTTGTTTGTGTCATCTTAGCATGTGGATGGTGAAGTGGGGGTTGGGGGAGGGGGCTGCATCCCAGAGCAGAATTATTGATTTGCACGAGTTTGTCCACTGGGCTCGCAAATGCGACCAGGCAATTAGGAGCACTTTGTGCTAGAAAGAGGAGAGATCACCTCGCCTCTCTCACATGGCTCTGTGGAAATGTCACTTTCCATCAGGCGGCCATTTACAGCTGCTGCTGCTAAGAGGAAAAGGAGTGTCAGTTCGCTGGAGGAGGAGAGGAAATAGGAGAGACACACTGCACACTGTACTGTAAAAAAAATGTAACAGATAAAATTAAAAGTATCAAATAAAACCATTTTAAGTTGCTTGCAGTGCCTTGTAAAAATTGTCTCAAACCCATTACATTCATCTGAACAAAACGGTATTCAACATTTTGAGGTAAAAGAAAATTGGAAAATGCTTTGTACATAAAGATATAAGTAGAACTATTTACATTTGTTTTGAGCCCACAGTCAATGCTCATTCAAACAGATGTAATTAACCTGCTCTTTTAGTCAACTTTGATGTGCTGTTTTCAAAGGGGTTTTTGGCAGGACCAAAGCAGGTAGGAGAAGCAAGGAGATGATGTCACTTCAAAAATTGGTTAGGGAAACAGACATATAAATGTAGACCTTTTGCATGGTTCAAAATTATTGTAGATTCCAGCAAAGGCAAATGGCAATCGACAGCTTCAACACTGGGAGAGACAGTAGAAGGAATAACAAGCAGGTGTGGCAATTGAGTCAAATAGTGGAACGTCTGAAAAGAGAGACCCGGGGGAGGGAGAGACGGAGGGAAACCTGGAGACCAGATTCACCATAAAAGAGTAGATCCACCAATAAAGAATGAACTAAGGTGGAAACAACGGAAGAACATGAACAAAAGCAATGAACAACAAATTCAAACACCAACCAAGGAGGATCATAATAGGACCTGTTTTGCTCTCCCTGCTAAAGAAAAAAGCATCCCCACAGCATGATGCTGCCACCAACATGTCTTTTTTTCTAATCAGTGATGATGTTCTGTGCAGGCAGATGCATCTTGTGCCTTTTTTTTTGCATGTAGGCCAAAATGTTGCTCTTAACTGACCAAAGTACTTTGTTTCATGTATTCGAGACAAATGACTGATGTAATGCTAAGTGTTGCTAATGTAGGGTTGTTTGGTGTTTTTATCTTTTTATGCTGTAAAGCATTTTGAATAATTGCTTATGGTGATATGAAAAATATTCTTGGCTTGCCTTCTTTTCATTTTACAACTGAGCACCTCTCTGTCCTGGTCTATAACATGAAATGGCACGTCTCGAGAAAAGTTCTGATTGCGGTTCATATTGTAAAAAGCTTTAAGGCTGTTACTACTGAGTGTACTATTAGCAGAATGTGGGTTTGAGTCCCAGTCGCAGCAAGATTGTATTTGGCGTAAAAACTGTGTGGCGAGTCCTGAATGTGCCAGGAGCCCGTACGAGGCAAACAAATTACTCTGTGTTCTTTAAAAACTGAGTAAAAGCAGAAATAAGGACATGGGTTAACCCATGTCAACTATAGCCACGTTTTGGACAAAGTCCTACATAAAGTATTCATTAAAAAAAATCTCACTCCTTTACTCTCCAACTTAAGCTTTACAAAAAAAGTTGCAGAAACCATCTTGGCTGATTTTAGTGGCAGGTTCCTTATTAATTTGGTTGCGTCACATCAAAGCATTTAAAATAAATTACACAAATCACATCAGGGCACGCAAGTCTGGTTTTGCTTCACGACCTTTCAAATCACCAACAGGAAAGATGCAAAGCAGCTGCTGGATTCATCGCTGACTCTGTGGCTCCCTGTGGGTCTGAGCGCTTAGCTGGGGTCTCAGCTCCTGTAATTGGGTTTCGTTGGCACCATCATTCCTCTGACAGCCCGTGCGGACAGGATAATTGTAGCCTCAAATTCTATTTCAAACTTCATTAAGTTTCAAAGCAGGATTTGTCACTTTGACCAGCAAGCACAAGAAGGAGGTCTAAGAAAAAAACTGGAAAAAGAAAAACAATTACAACACATGGGGCTGTGTCAATATATAATGAACTTTTCCAGTCCACCCTCTATTGAAAGATATAAGCAAGTATGTTTGTAAAGGGAAAGGATGAGGCGGACCACATTTTGGTGC